TTTAGATTAGAACCACAAAGAGGACCATTGATTTCAAAGCCGCTTCTATTTACAATAATAAATGACCAGCTATATGACTGGCTACAAGATCTCCATATGTCATAACACACAATCTATCTGGCTACAAGATCTCCATATGTCATAACACACAATCTATCTGGCTACAAGATCTCCATATGTCATAACACACAATCTATCTGGCTACAAGATCTCCATATGTCATAACACACAATCTATCTGGCTACAAGATCTCCATATGTCATAACACACAATCTATCTGGCTACAAGATCTCCATATGTCATAACACACAATCTATCTGGCTACAAGATCTCCATATGTCATAACACACAATCTATCTGGCTACAAGATCTCCATATGTCATAACACACAATCTATCTGGCTACAAGATCTCCATATGTCATAACACACAATCTATCTGGCTACAAGATCTCCATATGTCATAACACACAATCTATCTGGCTACAAGATCTCCATATGTCATAACACACAATCTATCTGGCTACAAGATCTCCATATGTCATAACACACAATCTATCTGGCTACAAGATCTCCATATGTCATAACACACAATCTATCTGGCTACAAGATCTCCATATGTCATAACACATTATCTGGCTACAAGATCTCCATATGTCATAACACACAATCTATCTGGCTACAAGATCTCCATATGTCACAACACACAATCTATCTGGCTACAAGATCCCCATATGTCATAACACACAATCTATCTGGCTACAAAAGCAAGATCTTTGTATGTCACAACAGGCAACATGATTGACTACAAGATCTGTGTGTCACAACACAAAATAATGAGACACAAGAAGTATGTAACGTAAAAAACATCTGTACATTAATAATGTTCAATAAAAACAAGTAGCAATCACAAATTGGTCACCAGTCATTTCAATCTGTTAACAAAACACTGGTCAGTTTGATGTCCAGTCACAAGAATTGCATGGAAATGAAAACTCCGATTTTTTACAAGAAAGGGAAACATACAACAAACTATGTAGACTTTATCTTAGCATCCAACCCAACCAAAGCGGCTCAAGTTTGTTGTGGTAAAAAGTGGAGCTTTATAAAACAGTTTATAGAATACAGGCAATAATTTTTTTTTAAATGATACGATGGGCTCTGGATCCAAGTGACTTTTCTGGCATTATAATTATAGGCCCTCATTCCTCATCAAACTACATTCAGTGGGTCATATAAGATTTTGAAACAAATTTTAAGAACTTGGGTCAAGCTGGAATCATTTAAACACCCTGAAAGGGGAGGGGGGTTGAAACCTAAAATCACCATACCAGTAGGTGAGCAGACCAGCCAGCAAACTACCATGGCACAGATGCGATGACCTATGACAATGACTCTGCAACATTACATGTAAGGTACTGAGACAGCACACTCTGCAACATTACATGTAAGGTACTGAGACAGCACACTCTGCAACATTACATGTAAGGTACTGAGACAGCACACTCTGCAACATTACATGTAAGGTACTGAGACAGCACACTCTGCAACATTACATGTAAGGTACTGAGACAGCACTGTTTTGAAAATGTGTACACAACAAATTCTTCACTATTCTGCAAAATGAAGTTCAACACAACCTTATTTGTCTACACCAATAACTGGTCTAGATGCCCTCTCAACCAGAAAAGTTCAGATACTGCTGCCTTTACAAACCTGGAACTAACAGACTACTAGTCATGAAATGCTGTCAGGGTAATACAGTGAATTCTATACACTAACATCAAGTAACGATCGAGATGATGAACAAAATGTACAGATAACTGGATACATTTTAATGAAAAATTAACAGCTGTCCACAGAGAATGTACAAAATTAAAAATTTACATGTTCAAATACATATCAGGACTACAAGAAGGCATTTAAAATGTACTAGAACAGACATCAGAAAGCTGGTCACTGTGGCAACAGAGGATGAGAGAACAATCAAGGGGAAGCGATCCAAGTGGCTGAGGACTGGGCTGCCACACAGACGGTGATTACAAAACACAGGTGCCAGGTCAGTAAGAGCAGGAGGTCATGGTTCAGTATCTTACACAATGCCCAACTTTGATCAGATTGTGTGGTCAAGCAATCACCTTTTTGTCTTCTCATCAACTTTGCCACTTATCCCAAAGTTTTCAAGTCAATGACTTGTTTGTGAAGCAAGCAAGATGCACATCTGTTCTAAGACCGTATCACCTTTCAGTCCAGCATAAGCTAATACATGTAGTATATTATTATTTATGGCAGTAAGTTGTGAGATCAAGACAGCTAGCGAATAATGCAGACCAGAATGAGATCAAGACAGCTAGCGAATAATGCAGCCCAGAATGAGATCAAGACAGCTAGTGAATAATGCAGACCAGAATGAGATCAAGACAGCTAGTGAATAATGCAGCACAGAATGAGATCAAGACAGCTAGTGAATAATGCAGCCCAGAATGAGATCAAGACAGCTAGCGAATAATGCAGCCCAGAATGAGATCAAGACAGCTAGCGAATAATGCAGCCCAGAATGAGATCAAGACAGCTAGCGAATAATGCAGACCAGAATGAGATCAAGACAGCTAGCGAATAATGCAGACCAGAATGAGATCAAGACAGCTAGAGAATAATGCAGACCAGAATGAGATCAAGACAGCTAGCGAATAATGCAGCCCAGAATGAGATCAAGACAGCTAGCGAATAATGCAGACCAAAATGAGATCAAGACAGCTAGCGAATAATGCAGACCAGAATGAGATCACGATATGTAGCGAATAATGCAGCCCAGAATGAGATCAAGACAGCTAGCGAATAATGCTGACCAAAATGAGATCAAGACAGCTAGCGAATAATGCAGACCAGAATGAGATCACGATATGTAGCGAATAATGCAGCCCAGAATGAGATCAAGACAGCTAGCGAATAATGCAGACCAGAATGAGATCACGATAGGTAGTGAATAATGCAGCCCAGAATGAGATCAAGACAGCTACAAATAATGCAGACCAGAATGAGATCACGATAGGTAGTGAATAATGCAGACCAGAATGAGATCACGATAGGTAGTGAATAATGCAGACCAGAATGAGATCAAGACAGTTAGTGAATAATGCAGACCAGAATGAGATCAAGACAGCTAGCGAATAATGCAGACCAGAATGAGATCAAGACAGCTAGCGAATAATGCAGACCAGAATGAGATCACGATAGGTAGTGAATAATGCAGCCCAGAATGAGATCAAGACAGCTAACGAATAATGCAGCCCAGAATGAGACCAAGACAGCTAGCGAATAATGCAGACCAGAATGAGATCACGATAGGTAGCGAATAATGCAGCCCGGAATGAGATCAAGACAGCTAGCGAATAATGCAGACCAGAATGAGATCAAGACAGCTAGCGAATAATGCAGCCCAGAATGAGATCAAGACAGCTAGTGAATAATGCAGCCCAGAATGAGATCAAGACAGCTAGCGAATAATGCAGACCAGAATGAGATCACGATAGGTAGCGAATAATGCAGCCCGGAATGAGATCAAGACAGCTAGCGAATAATGCAGCCCAGAATGAGATCAAGACAGCTAGCGAATAATGCAGCCCAGAATGAGATCAAGACAGCTAGCGAATAATGCAGCCCAGAATGAGATCAAGACAGCTAGCGAATAATGCAGCCCAGAATGAGATCAAGACAGCTAGCGAATAATGCAGCCCAGAATGAGATCAAGACAGCTAGTGAATAATGCAGCCCAGAATGAGATCAAGACAGCTAGCGAATAATGCAGACCAGAATGAGATAAAGACAGCTAGCGAATAATGCAGCCCAGAATGAGATCAAGACAGCTAACGAATAATGCAGCCCAGAATGAGATCAAGACAGCTAGCGAATAATGCAGCCCAGAATGAGATCAAGACAGCTAGCGAATAATGCAGCCCAGAATGAGATCAAGACAGCTAGCGAATAATGCAGCCCAGAATGAGATCAAGACAGTACAGAAATAAATTTCAGAGAAATGATGTATGAAGAAACATAAAACAGAAAAATATAGCCCAGAAAACCATTTTTAAAACACTAACAAAGAAATCATAATCACATATTCTGCCAATTGACAGTATTTTCAGGGCAAAGAAATGCCAAACTGACAGTAACAAATGTATTAAAACAATTTAAATATTCAACATGACACAACTGTTTTTTCTCTCATTCTTTTCTTGATGCAATAACAGTTCCAAAATAATACACTAACTCATGAAAGATACCAATTTATATATGTATATAGGGAATATAAATGTCTCAATGGACAACAAAGCAACAAAAATTATTTTCCTATAGGTAATCCATCTCTACTAACTTTATATAGATTGCTCACATCTAAAGTAACAAGAGAATTTGAGGATAATTCTTAAACTCTCATCCTTAATTTCCTACAATGCCAGGGTAACAGTTTTTGGCCAGCCAGAAATTTAGCTCTATGGTAACAGCCATCAGTCAATGTACTCCCCAGTATAACTGTTTTTTTTTAATCATTAAATCTTTTTTACAGCCAGAAATGTATACCAGGGCAATGGTTTTTGGTTGATTTATTATCAGAAACGTATCTAAGGGCAACAGATTAACAGTTTTCGACAATTTCCACCAGAAATACATCACAAGTTAAAAGTTTTCAATCAATTTACCACCGGAAACGGCTGGTTTCTAACTCAGACAATGTAACCAGACTTCAAAAGACTGCAGGTGTCTTAGTTTTGAAAGTAAACCTAATTTAGCAACCTTAGATCACGGCAACAATTTGTAAATTTAAAAAACAAATGTGTATGACTTAAAATACATGATACACTGCAACAGTCCTTTCAACTGTGTATGTGATGGCAGACAATTCTTCAAAATGACTTGCTGGTGTATGTATAAATTGCTGGGCAGGGTTGGCTGCTTCACGTCCATCATCTCAACACCAGTACTCCTATTACATGGCCTGTCTTTATGTGGTGCCTGTGTCCCTGGAAGAATCGTCAGTGAGATCCGGAGCTGTCAGAGAGTTTGTGTCACTGGCATCAGAGCTGACATGGCTGTTGGAGGATCTTGGGTCTGGTTTTGGTTGATAATCAGTGACAACTACTGTGACATTTCCCACTGTCACCGATAAATGTGACGGGCGGCTTCTGTCAACGTTCTTTAACCTTGGTACACTAGAAATTCATTTAAAAAGTGATTATGATATTTATCTCAGTCTAAACATTTGTAAGGCATTCAAAGATTTTTTTAAAATTAAATAAATAATAGATCATTACGGTCTGAGGAGAATAGCGCTATGAGTAGTTACTAGGGGATCTGGCCGATGCTCAAGGAAAGGGCAAGATGGATAAACAATCAGAAAGTTACTGGTGCCATTGGAATTCTTTGTTTGCTGCTGGAGATGGAGACAGAGCACTGATAGGGGTGTCTAAAGTTCTATGATGTTGATTCTCAATTTAACATTCAACATAATAAATGTTATAAAAAAATGTTACATTGGGAGAAAAAGTGAAATTAAAATACAATTTAACTGAGAAACAGCACACAAAGATTTAACAGTTTATAAGAATGAAACTTGATGAACTACTGGTAAGAGGAAAATCAAGAAAATGATGGATAAAAACCCCAAAGGTTACATTAAATAACACATGGCACAACCAGGACAAGCCATCTTGAAAAGCAACCTCAGGTTTGCCCCAACCCTTTTACTAAACGTCAAAAATGCTTCAGAACATCAGACACTTTTCAGCTACACTAAACCTAGATGGACAGTTTAAGATTCAATCTGGTGTAAGTGACAAAGAGGTGAAACATTCTCCTGGCATGCAGAGACCAGTTGATGAATGTGTGCACCACTAAAGCCAGTAGCAGAGAATGGTGACAACTAGTCAAGCATGATCACCAGCTTCAAAACCAACCAAACTGTCAGTATGTCTCTTTAGAACAGATTCAGCCAGCCTTGAAATGGCTACCAAAGGCAACTGCCAAGAAAAATGCATGGGTCACCCATAAGTGGGTCTATAATAATATCTAACAGCACTCAACTGTGAAGGCTATGTCAGATCCTTTATCCCAGGATCAGGGGGCAGTGTAACATACCCGGGTTCCTTATATGGTAAAAATCCACCCTTGGGTTCGAACCTAGTCTTCTAAAGCTAGGTTAATGATGTAACACTAAGCCGGTTATATAAAATGATGTAACACTAAGCTGGTTATATAAAATGATGTAACACTAAGCCGGTTATATAGTCTATACTTTTCAATTTCTATCATCAACAGAATTTCTAACATGTGTAATGTGCTAACTGATCTCCTGAACTTTTCACCTGGATATGGCAAGAGGAATGTGAGGATAGCTGATACCCTCAACAAACACTCAGAAAGCCATGGCTCCAGACAATAAATGGCATATAGGTCTAGAACAACAATCAAGATAGCTGACCAGTATTCTACAACTGAAGTGCTGATAACAGGTAGGAATATGCTATCAACTGTCTCGCGAAAATGTGCCATCAGATTCAACACATGAAGTTGACTTGTCAATTGGAATATTGCCCTACACCAGTAGGACAGGTCTGGCCACATTACAGTTGACATAAATGACATCACCAATATTACAAAGGACAGCTGCTGGCTGTACCGTCAACTGTTGGCTGTACATGAGTTTGAGTAGCTAGGCTCACGAATCTCAGGCAATCATTCTCAAATTCAGAGATAAACAGTCGTTTAGGAAAGGCTTCTGCAATGTTTCCAAATTTCACTATGAAAGTCTGGTCAAATAAAAATCTGGCTGACAATACCAAAATGAAAGTTTAAGAGTCTTAATCACGCTACTGTATGGTAGTGAATCCTGAACTCATGCTTCTCAAGAAAAGAGACTGAATACCTTCCACGTGCGCTGCGTAAGGCGCGTCCTTGAGACCTTGTCTCCAATGAATGTGTACTCAAACAGTAAAAATTCCATCAATGTACTGTCTACTGAAGCAAAAAGCTATGTTATAAAGACATGCAAACGTGACCTGATAGATACCAACATAGGCACAGAGACTTGGGAAAAATCAGCTGCAGGTGGACTACTGCGGCGACAGAAATTCAAAGATAAGATTGTTGCATTTAAAAAGATAGATAACGCAGCGAGCTATAGAGAGGAGATGCTAGAGAGAAAATCAGACCCATAGTGAGAGAGTATCTACTTTTCTGTGTATCCTATGTGGTAGAGACTGCCACTCCCGCATCGGACTTGACAGTCACAGCAGATGTTATTCACAAAGCCAGTAGCAGCACATCCCTATAGTCCCCAGGGACTGATGGATGCCATTATTATTTTTTTAATAACGGAAAACCAACAAATTAAACTAATCTTTGACTGTGACAAGCCAACACAGTATGTTACTGCCCCTGTTTCATTTGGGACATTATTGGCTGGCAAAATGGGTAACTGAATATCTATACTGTGTTATCTAGTTAGATCGTAAAATAAGTAATGTCAATTCAACAAATTCTTATGTTAAAAAAAAAAAACTGCAGACCACCATTCACACAGAGTTGGGGGCGTACATCGTAGTAACAGACAAACTGTATCAGCGCCAAAAGGGGAGGGGGGAGCTGATGGCATAGGCTATGTATGGCTTCGTGAAGTATTTAGTACTCACCTTCTACAGAATACAAGTTGCAATGGAAGCTTTGCGAGAGGGGAAGAGCAGAATTTCTTCAGGGGGAAGAAATAGCTTTATTTATATCTTTGATACGGATCTCGAACTTTAACTCCTGCAGAATGAAAGCTGGAATAGGAGCTTGGCCAGAAGGGGGCAGGGAGAAGTCCTTCAAGGGAAGAGGGGTTAAATTTGTTAATTTTCAGGAAGGGGATGTTCTACTTAACTGCTACGGTAATGGGGCAAAGTATTCTCATGATATAAAAGAACACAGGGGCTTGTCGGAAGGGAAAGGGAGAACCCTTGCTAGGGAAGTCATGTTAAATAAGTCATTAAGAAAATGTCAGCCAATTTGTGGGATTAGAAAATGTACAACTTGTGATCATAGGTAATGTGAGTTGGTTAGAAAATGTTCTGCTAACAACAATTGTTAGTACATTATTAGCAGATTAGAGTTGTGAGGTCATCCCTGACCTACAGTCAAAACTAGCAAAAACCTGCCTGGGTTGAAGACAACCAGTCTGTGTGATGTTCAGTCTGTGAGATGGCGGGCCCTTTCTTGGTGCCACAGAGGAGAGCACTAGTCTACACAAGGGATTTACAACACCCCAGCAAATTATTGCAGAAATGTATTATTTGTACAAATGTGCTACTTGGTGATAGTACTGGATGCAGACAGCCAAGTACATGTTTTGTATGTGTGAATGATGATGGAAGCTGTCATTAAGATAGTGTTTACAACAATTGTTTAAAAGAAAAAAACATAATCCAGTATTTCATATGCCCACATTATGAAATGATACAATGGGGTAAACCCCACCGACATAATTTGTTCATAGCAGGTATGTCAGGTCAGCTTCCAAACACACATTTCAAACTCTGACTGAAGCAAGACACAAAATATGTGAGCATCACAAACAAACCATGTCATCTAACTGAGACCAGGCAAACTGGCTAAAGTGTGAACAAGATGAAGTTAGATGTCAACCAAGCATCCCAGTGTATGGGCCACACAACCAGAACATGGCAATGACAACTGTGGTAGAATGGTACTGGTATTAGTGATAGTAATAGTAGGAATAGATAGTTCTGATAATTCACTAGCGGTGGTACCCTTTCTATCATTTCATTAACTGTGTTTATTTTAATAGATTGGGAATAAAACTGAGAATGTTTTTGTGGATTTAAAAAAGGAATATGATAGTGTACATAGAAAAAAAAAGTTTATGGAATGCAAGAAAGCACTAGAGTGCCAAAGAATTTAATCACCATAACCAAACTATCTATGGAAGATTTATTACATAAAAAGTCAGACCCTTTTCAAATATCTGGTTGAAAGCAAGGTGATGCTGTCCCCACTTCTTTTGGTCCTGGAGAGAATTATATGAAAATTGAAAGAGTGCACTACAGGAGAAACTACAAGAATGCTTGGTTAAGCAGGTGATACTGATATTGTTGAAGAAAATGAACTAGAGACTAAAAACACTGAGAAAGTAGCTCAAAAAAATATGACTAGATATCAGTCAAGATAAAGATGGGATATATTGTAATAACAAGACAGGGAAAGGATAAAAACTCCAGCTACATACAAAATGGACAACAAGAAAATCTAACACAAACATACTAGTACTTGGGTGCAAACTTCAACATACTAATAGAAGAAATACAATCTGGGAATAAAGTAGACTACACCCTACACAATCTGCTAAAATCAAAGTCTCTGCCTCAAAACATCCAGATCACAATTATAGGGCTCTGAAACTAGGAGCACAACTAAAAGAGATAAAACCTTTTTATAATTTTGGTTAAACAGTCTACAGCAAATCTTTTGACCCATCAAAGATGCAAACAGCAGGAATGGAGAGTGAGAAGCAACAATAAAATTCGTAGTCTGTTTAACCCTGCCAGACCGCTGGACCGGTGCGTCACAGACTAAAAATAACCACCCAATCGTTATCAATCCTCTTTGTTAGACATTGCAAATGTCTGCCCGCATGTATTTGGATTATATTTGTGTTGTTTTACGTGGGAAAATTCTGAAAATTCACACTGAAACGAGCGGCTGATATATATATATATATATATATATATATATATATTCATTATCTGTGATAATTTCATAAAGAATCTGTTCTTGAAGTGACACTGTCAGTGAGAGCGCGAATGATGAGGAAAATCTTGAAAATTATCAATCTTGAAATAGATCGATAGTAGTGTCCATCAAACTGCAACATCTGGTGTTAACTTTGTGAAACAAAGTTGATCCTGATGAGTGAATTCGCACACAAAGGTGAAATATTGGCGCTAGATAAAAGGTAAGCCTATTTTCTACAATGTCTCCAAGTTTCATCATATTCTAGCCACTCGTTTGCATGTAACTAATATTTTTGTATATCATGTTGGTTTTTTCGCGGTAATGCCCAGAAGCTCAGGTTATAGAGACAGTTAGGTTCAGGGCCTCAGGTCTGGTAGGGTTAATGCCCAGAAGCTCAGGTTATAGGGACAGTTAGGTTCAGGGCCTCAGGTCTGGTAGGGTTAATGCCCAGGAGCTCAGGTTATAGGGACAGTTAGGTTCAGGGCCTCAGGTCTGGTAGGGTTAATGCCCAGGAGCTCAGGTTATAGAGACAGGTAGGTTCAGGGTCTCAGGTCTGGTAGGGTTAAACCACCACTGATCACTGGCATCTTGAGGACTAACAGACAGAAATGGCTGGGGAATATTGAAAAAATGTCAGATGACAGGAAGATGAAAACTATACACAAGGAAGTTTAACAGTCCCAGACAACAAGGCAGACCAAGAAGACAATGGAGAGATAATATCCAGGCAGACCAGAAGACAATGGAGAGATAATATCCAGGCGGACGGACAAACACTAGGAGTCACCAAATGGAATGAGAAGACCATCCAAAGAGATGAATGGAGGCAGGTGATATCTGCAGCAATGAACCTCAATGGCTCGAAATGCTGAAGATAAAGAATCTAACAGAACTAAATAGTGGTATAAGAATTATATTGTTGTGTGTCATTCTCTGCTATCTGAGGAAGTGTCGTGGGCTAGTCTGTGTTACTCCTGTAGTCAAAAGAGTCAGAGAAGTCAAGTAACATGGAAGAAAACTTGAGCAATTAAAACTGAACAGCTACGTTATGTCATCACAATCAATGTCACTGCACACTGGGCATTTCCATGCATGCTCAGTCCTCCGATGAAGCACCTCACTCCAAGATACCTCTAGCAATTGTTTCCATAAAAAGTTGATTTTAATGTCTCGATTCTTGGCATCGAGATGTATCAAACATCCATCACAGCCTTTTACTCCCAGGTCAAGCAATTATGTTAGCGTCTGAGATTCATTATTATCCATCAGCAAAGTCCGCACAGCATTGATTGTATTAGCTTTGTCTATGGTTCTTCCAGCATGCATTGGTGCAATACTTGCCAGCTGGTCCACTCATTCACTACTTGTAACTCTTGCATGCCCTGGTGTCTAGATTCAGGTCGGGAAGTTGAGTGCAATCAGAGCGCATACTACCTGTTGTGATATTCCGATGCATGTTTGTGGAGTCTGATATGATCACCCTGTGTGTGAGAGCTTGTTCTGCTGCCCATACAAGTGCTCTGGAAACAGCAATTATCTCCATGGCTATGCTTAGTTGTTCATGCATCTGAGTCTGATATTAGTCGCACCTGTATTTTTCTATTTTTATTTTGTCCTACACTCGGTTAAAAAATATGTAGTTACCAGTAACTATTGGTACAGCACTGCATACTTATTGTTTAATATTCAGTTTTTGTGTCAATTTTATTAAATAGTTTCTATGGTCGCTATATTTAGTCATCAGTCATTTAAATGCAAGTGTGGTGGTGACTGTTGGTGTTAACAGTTCTAGCTGTTGCCTTATGCATTTATTGCTCATGCATTTTCTGGATTTTGTGAGGACTAACTAGTTTTAAGATGGAGCAGTGAAGGATTTTTTAAAATGATTTTAACTGCCACAGGAACAGAACAGTTATTGTGAACTGCTTGCACTCAAGCTGAAACTTTAGCTGCCAAGTGTCATCATAAACTGCTTTTCTATAAAGTGTCAGATGAAGAGAAATGCAACAGAGAACAGACTGCAGCAATCACAGGACTGTGTCATATTTCTAGACTTATACAGAAATCTTTGCATTTCTTCTAAAGGACGTTTAGGAAATCAGACCAACAGTTTCCTGATTGAGAAAACAGTTGGTAAGATTTAAGGAAGGGAGCAAATCAGCCATAAGAAATACAGGCAGAGAGACACTGTTGAAGAGGGGGACACAGATACCGGTAGAGAAAGGGAAGGAAAGACAGAGGGTGGGAGAAACAAACAGAGAGAGGGAAGGAGACAGAGAGAGGGAAGAGTTGTGAATGACCGCTCCCATGTGTACCACCCGCCACAAACATGAGAAAAAGGGACAATCAATATACTGCCAGTCTGGGCTGGAAACTGTGGCAGCTGGAAATCACTAGTGTTTAGTTTGTGGCTATTTGAAGACTGTGAATGCCAAGGGTGTTTTCCAGGCTTCACAGGTTTCCTTTATTCTGAGCTGTTGAAAAAAAAAATACTTACTGGCTAGAGCTGCTATCTGAGCTTTTATCCCTTTTTGATGAATGAGATTTGTCTTTTTTAGGAGGTGCAACAAACTGTTGTGCCTTCTGTTGTGCTACCAGCTGTGGGTTGATTCTTGGTTTTCTAGAGTACAAAACAATCATCAAAATGCATGTATTTACAAAACAAAATAAAAGAATACAAACAGTGGCTTTGTTCTTAATCTTTGTCATTTGTATGAAGTCACTGCATATTATTTTTCTTTCCTGTTTCTTGTTTGAACTGTTTTAAGTCACTGTATTGTTCAGTTCTCTTTTCTGATTCTTTAAATCACAAGTTTCTTGCGTAAATTTTTTTTTTTTTTTTACCATTTCCTATTCTGACCTACTATTTTGATCGCATCTTTGGACGCTTGCCGTTAAAAAAGCAACTTGTGAGATAAATGTAGTTGAAGCTGTTAGTCCTTTCTTTTCTATCTCTTTCTTTAGGGGAAACAATTCTGTAGTGCTTAAAATAAATTTGTATGAGGCTCTTTTTTTTAGGGTGGTGGGGGTGGGGGGAGCACCCATGTTGATGACGCGTTAAATAGATATTTTGATAATTGCAGCTGATCATCAGAGCCGGCCTGGTGGCAAAATTGTATTGAATATTTCTGACACTATAGGAGATTTTCTTGATTTTTTTTAATCGGAAAGTGAAGTTAAAGATATTTCTGAACAGATTGATGACTGTGACTCTGACCATTTGTTTAAACTGCGATCAAAATTATTTTTTTTTTAAACTGAAAAATTATATTTTGCTCATCATCAGTGGCAATCAGAGGTATGTACTTAGGTTATATTAGTTTGTGTAGCATGTTGAATGTATGCACTTATGTTACATTAGTTCGTGAAGCCTATTGCATGTATGCACTTATGTAATGGAGTGTCTGCCAACCATGGGTGAACTAGACACAGCTGCTGGCTGTAAATGAGTTTGAGTACCTAGGCTCACGTATCTCAAGCAATAATTCTCTGGATGCAGAACTAAACAAACGTATAGGAAAGGCCTCTGCTATGTTTGCAAATCTCACAAAGAGAGTCTGGTCAAACAAACAGCTAACTGATAATACAAAAATGAAGGTTTATGAGTCTTGTGTCCTGAGCACATTACTGTACGGCTGCGAATCCTGGACTCTCTATGCTCCACAGGAAAAAAGACTGAATACCTTCCATATACGCTGTCTGAGACGCATCCTTGGTATATTATGGCGAGACCTTGTCTCTAACGAATGTGTGCTCACAAGAGCAAAAATACCATCAATGTATTGTATACTGAAGCAAAGACGTCTGCGCTGGCTGGGACATGTCTCCCGCATGGAGGATGGCCGTATTCCAAAAGATCTCCTATATGGTGAATTGGTGACTGGGAATAGACCTACAGGAAGGCCAAAGCTGCGCTATAAAGATGTATGCAAACGTGACCTAATAGATACCAACATAGGCACAGAGACATGGAAAAAATCAGCTGCAGATCGACTACCATGGAGACAGAAAGTGAAAGACGGACTGTCACATTTTGAAAGAAACCGAACACGAGCTGTGGAGAGGAGGCACCGGAGAGTAAAACTGCCTCACAACGAGGGAGTATCTGCTTTTGTGTGTATCCTGTGTGGCAAAGACTGCCATTCCCGCATCGGACTTTACAGTCACAGCAGATGCTGTTCTCAAAGCCAGCGGCACATCTACATAGTCCCCCGGGACTGACGGATGCCATTATCTACTTATGTTACATTAGTTTGTGTAGCCTGTTGCATGTATGCCCTTATGTTACATTAGTTCGTGTAGCCTGTTGCATGTATTGTTAGATGCGTCTAATAGTGTAGACTATACATTACGGCTCGTGGCTAAGAGTTGAGTGAAAATTGTTTCACAGTGAAATCCTTTGTTCACTGAGGTGTGATTCCCATGATGGGAGGCATGTGATAAGATAGGTTTTGTGGCTTTTTGAGTTTGACAATTTGGTCATACCGAATCAGAAATTCTTGGTGAAAAATGGTAAACAGCTCCCAAATTTGCAAAGAGCTATCAGCCAGGATTATTTCAACAACAAAATGTATATATATATATATATATATATATATATATATATATATATATATATATATATATATATATATATATATATATATATATATATATATATATATAAATTAGCTATACAAGTTAGGATTTTACCATGACAGCAAGCGCCCAAAGTTACAATCTCAGGGTGTGCGATTCAAGTAGCCAAGCTGAACATCACCCGATCACATTGTGCAATCGTGGCAGTCAGTGGGTTCAGTAGTGAAAGGCCAATATTTTGTCTAATTATTTCTAAAATGGCTAAGTGAAATACTGTGGCCACATTAAAGACCTAAAACTCATAAAACCACATCAGAGGTAGAAACTGAAAGGAGGCGTAAAAAAGAGGTAGGAAGATGTACAATACATTTAGTTTTAATTATAGCTTCAATTGGTATCGATCACAAACCTGGTTGAAGTTCCCTTTCTAACGTCACACATCTCACATTTGTAAGCTTCTGGAGAATTTTTGTATGTACACACACTGCAGTCCCAGAATCCTTCCTCCAAGACTTTTGCTTGTCTTTTTGCTCTGGGGAAATTATATAAATTTATGCTCATAAAAACTGTCCTCTATAATTAGGTTTAAGGTGAGATCGACATAATTACGCTGGGTCGATCTTTCTTTGCAGAATGGCTAGTATCACAGTAAACAAAAACAACGATCCTCAGTGAACTGAGCGAGGTCTCCGTGGAACAAACCAACTTCCAGAGTGTGATGCAAATGGTTCGACCAATTTGCCACATACTGATCCTCCCCCTCTCCTTTTTCCTATCCTATAATTTTGAATATTAAAAAAAAAATCACACACTGATCACAATCTTCTCAAGTTATTACACACTGATCACAATCTACTCAAGTTATTACACACTGATCAGAATCTACCCAAGTTATTACACACTGATCAGAATCTACCCAAGTTATTACACACTGATCAGAATCTACTCAAGTTATTCTTTCACCTTTTATTGAAACTTTTGGGATACTTCTTCTTCTCAGTGTTCCCCAGGTGTTAACTCGGGCAAAGGTTCTGACTGTTTGTCCACTTCTGGACTTTAGTCCTGTACCAGAACTTTTTGTTTGTGCATACATATTAATTTTACTGATCTGACTTATTTGTATGCAGACTGTTAGTTCCTCACCTCTCAGGCAGATGCACTCTAAATTTCAAAGGAAACACAGTGACCTTTTACAACATACTGAAACTGTCGGTCAGATTTCCTAAATGTCCCTCAGAAGAAATGAAAAGTTTTCTGAATATGTTTAGAAATATGACAAATTACTTGTGATGACTGCAGTGTGTTCTCTATTTTCACGTCTCTTCATCTAACATTTGGTACAACAATAACAGTAACTGATGACAGTTGGCAGCTGAAGTTTGAACTTCACTGCAAACAGGTCACAATAACTCTTCTGTTCTGAAGGTGAAGAAATATCTAAACAAATGCCCAATTGCATCCATGACTGAAACCTTTGTTTTTAAGACTGAAATATACCATGACAGTTCATTCTGAGCTACAACTAATAGATAATGACTGTCAAAACCTGACCATACAGAGAACTTCTTTCAAAGCTCAATAAATCTATGTCACATTGCTGGTTAGAGCAACAATAAAATCCATGGCACAATGTATAAACATTTAGTGAGACATAAGTGGTTGCATTTTTAAGTGTGCAGTTTTCTTATTTCAGGTTTAATTGATTATAACTGTGACAGTCATTATCTAGTTCTGTATTTAAGCGGCTTCTGTATTTTGTTTCTGTAGAGAATATGAATCAAAATGTTGTCTGTCCACATCATCCTTCAGTAATGTATAAGCTAGTGGCAACAGAATGATCAAATGTTTTCTGTTTGGGGAGGTGCACAATTCCACCAGCCCAATTTCTGGTCAGTTTGCAATTCTGGTTTTCTTATTTCGACTCAAATTTTCATTTCTCTATGTTTATTCCGATTTGCATTTTCTTGGAGTGGCAATAGAGCCCCTGGGAAGTAAATGTGTTGCATTTAGGGCTTTGTGATGTGGACTACTGGCTGAGCACCTCTGCTCCTTAACCTTAACAAAAAGCTCAAGTACCTGTTACTGTTAAGATGATAATTAGAGAGTGCGTTGTTAGGGAATGTAAACAATTAAACTGGAAATGGATTTGCTTGGTTACGCGAGGGACTTCCCGTCCCTGAATTTTAAGCGTTTTATATACTAGTCACTATAAAAAAATACTGGCTGTTCAGAAATGAATCCGAACACGCGCGATACCTGTAGCAGATGTCAGACTGCTAAATAGCATGTGTTTTTAGAAAAGACATTTACTCACTAAAAAGTATTTTGTAATTTGGATTAGGGTTAGTAAATTTTTTTAAATCTTTTTTTTAGGCTTTCCATCATCTCCATTGTGGTATTATTGAACTCTGCGTCCATTTTTACATACAGATGTGTGTCTGTTATATATTGACAATGCTTATAATAGGTGCAAATTAATGTTCAGATAATGCAATTTTAAGTTGAAATAGTAATTTATCTTTGTATGTTTAATACTTTTTCTAAATGTTATTAGCTTACAAAATGATAATGATGAGTTTTCTGACACACCTAATGGCTGAATCATTTCTTCAGATGTTTGCTTTGAAACTGAACACAGATAGTGAATAATGCACTGTAATTAAATCCAGCTAGAGATACTAACAAAGTAGCCTATGTGAAGATAGGCACACATTTTGTTATTTACTGTATCTGCATGCATCAAGATTTGTTAATGCAATTATCTGAATAACAATCAATTCAATAAATATTAAAAGGAACAAGTACTATCAACCAACAACATGACAGAGTGAGTATATTATTATTATGAATACATTATTACTGCAAGGAGGTGTACAGTCTGTACAAGACCCAACACACTAGTTATATAAGTATGTTATGAGTGCTTCAACGTCCTTGGGTCTTACCTGCCCCGAAAAGTAACAGAGCAGATATAGATATAACTAATTAAACTAAGCTGCTTTGATTCAATAATAACTGATTAAATACAAGGTGAAGTGACCCGTGTTAGTTAGTGAACTGTTAGGTTTCCCCTGAAACAATCAAACCAATTGTTAATTGTAATTAATTTCAACAGTAACTTCATTAGTCCCAGATTCAAATTCATCATAGTGCCAACAGTTCCACTGAAAGATCATTCAATGACCATGATAACTTCCAAATACCTCCCAGAGGATCTCTTTTCGTCCATTGAGGAGATGTCAGCGTGAAGAATATCCGTCTTCTTTCTCTGTGTCGTCTCTCTCTCTCTCTCTCTCCCTCTTTTCCTACAGGCCGAAAATAAAATGGATGTCAGAATTAGTCACATGACCATCCTCAGCCAATCAGCGTTCTTACAATTGGGTCATGTTTACACAAATCAATCGCGGGAAAAACAACCCAGAAACTTCCGAAACAAATAATTGTGCCGGAAATCCTTCTTGCCACTAAAAAATGTGGCCGGCACGTGTGTTGTGGTTTGCAGCTAGACTCCGATATTTGATCTTTTCTGCTCAACACATGCAATTTTAGCTAACCCCTAATTAACTGAGATTTTTATTTTGGGAAAGGAAGTTGACAAATTCATAAATGGGCCCTTAACCTACACGGAGAGTGATGTAAACTGAAAGTTAGAAAACGTAGACAAATTTAAATACGTGTTTCATTATTGCTTCAAACTTGTTTTATAAAGTATTTTGTTTTACCATTTGCACGCCTACGCGGTAGCTACCTGACGGTGCGACTATCCTGAGATTACTAAATCTCAGTAAAGTTGACTTGGTTGCATCGGGTTAGTCCATGTGGCTGGGTTTTCTCTTCGCATTAAGGATAGCCGTCTGCCGAGTGAGAGTCGCACAAACTCCGTGATTAGTGAGGTCATCACAGCACCATGGACAAATCCATGGTCAAAGGTGGATTAATGACATTACAGAGCTTCGACACGGAAGAACAAAAGCCATTGCTGCCCATCAAGCAATGGATAGCAAACTGTTTCTCCCTCAAGACGCTAAATGGCAGAAGTGGAAATTGGAGATGGCAATCATCATCAATCCATTAGTGCTCCGATCTCCTCCTCTACAGCTCAACAAGAGTAGAATGTCTGACCACACCCGTTCTGTATTGATTCATTAGACGTCTTGTGCCCTTGGTAAAATGGTCATGTCTGATGACACCCTCAGGCGCAACGCCACGAAAAAAAAAGGGCGGGGGTAATCGGCTCACTAAAGATTATTGGGAAGTTGACCTGGTCCTTATCATAATTTCGGCCCTTGTCCCGCCCATTTACACACTACGCAAATTCTCATTCATACTTGGCCAGCCTAGTCGACTCCTGCAAACGTCCTAGTGGCGTCGTCGTGGCTGTGTCCAATGGGCGTCATTTTATGACACATTAAGACATCGAGAACTCACTCTCCCGTGACGCTACCTCTATACTACAGCAAGTCAGCGATTTTAACGACCGCATAAAATCTGCTGCTAGCCCTAACCCAACCTCAGTCGCGACAAACTAGACCTAGGTCCTACGAGACAGTGCATTCTACTTTTCGCCGCAGACGCGAAACTCTACCCTCTGCAATAAACTCAGTTCCTAAGCAAAATCCTAGACGACTGTGATGTACCCACCAACACACACTAATACTATCTACTAAGTCGCTCAGAAAAGCCACCGTGTAACTGTCCACAATTCAACATATCCGCAAGAGAGACACCCGACACCTCGGCCTCTTGCAGTTCACCTTGTTACAGCTTAAAGCGGAGTCTGGCCTTCTAGTCAGTTTCCTGTTCTACCTCTGTCATTCATAAATGTGTATGGGAGGAGCCAGCAACCAAAATCGCGACTTTCCGTTGGCCTTTACACCTCCACCCCCTCCCCCTAGCACCTAACAACTTTTTTGGGGTCTGAACCACCAGTTTCCGCTGCCTATGGTTAGATGATTACTACAGGAATTTACAATGATCTTCTACTCCTCGATCCCTCAGGGAAGCAAAGGCTCTCCGCCAAGTCGTAATATTTCTTAAATCGATTGATGGAGCTAACAGGTTGCTGAAACTCAACAGTATCACCAGGCAGCAAGCTAACGAACGTACACTATTCCGGATCATCAGTGGTGCCTACAACGTCTAACAGCATTAAGCAGAGAGCGGCAATAGACAGACAGACAGACAGACAGACAGACAGACAGACAGACAGACAGACAGACAGACAGACAGACAGACAGACAGACAGACAGACAGACAGACAGATAGAGAGATGGATAGATGGATAGATGGATAGATAGATAGATAGATAGATAGATAGATAGATAGATAGATAGATAGATAGATAGATAGATAGATAGATAGATAGATAGATAGATAGATAGATAGATAGATAGATAGATAGATAGATAGATAGATAGATAGATAGATAGATAGATAGATAGATAGATAGATAGATAGACAGACAGACAGACAGACAGACAGACAGACAGACAGATAGATAGATAGATAGATAGATAGATAGATAGATAGATAGATAGATAGATAGATAGATAGATAGATAGATAGATAGATAGATAGATAGATAGATAGATAGATAGATAGATAGATAGATAGATAGGTAGACAGATAGATAGGTAGACAGATAGATAGATATTATTGTTTTATAAAATATTTACATGTATCTTACTACGTATTTGCTTGTTTTTGTGAATTTATGGAAGCCAGGTCACAATCCCCCCCCCCTCCCTTTTTTTCGGCCCCACCCACCCCCCTCCCCCCCCCCCCCCAACACACACCCCACCTTCTTTTTTCCCCCCTCCAGTTTACAGATTATATTGTTGTTTCCTCAAGATGCTCAGTTTAAGTATTTGGACTTGATATTTTTGCGTTTTGTCGATCCAGAATGTTTCCACTGGCATTTTGACCATCCAGAATGTTTCCACTGGCGTTTTGTCGATCAAGAATGTTTCCACTGGCGTTTTGGCGATCCAGAATGTTTCCACTGGCGTTTTGACCATCCAGAATGTTTCCACTGGCGTTTTGTCGATCCAGAATGTTTCCACTGGCGTTTTGGCGATCAAGAATGTTTCCACTGGCGTTTTGTCGATCCAGAATGTTTCCACTGGCGTTTTGTCGATCCAGAATGTTTCCACTGGCGTTTTGGCGATCCAGAATGTTTCCACTGGCCCTTTGGCGATCTAGAATGTTTCCACTGGTGTTTTGGCGATCCAGAATGTTTCCACTGGCGTTTTGGCGATCCAGAATGTTTCCACTGGCGTTTTGGCGATCCAGAATGTTTCCACTGGCGTTTTGGCGATCCAGAATGTTTCCAAGGGCGTTTTGGCGATCCAGAATGTTTCCACTGGCGTTTTGTCGATCCAGAATGTTTCCACTGGCGTTTTGTCGATCCAGAATGTTTCCACGGGCGTAACTGCTTTTTCTTGTCTGTTCCCTTCTGCATACCCCAAAATAGCGGCATAGTGATTCCTCGACTGCTAATTGACTGACTGAAGTCCAAACCCACCAGGACATCACACGAGCGATAAACACCTGGTGACACAAAGTGCCACATTCGGATGAGGATCAACCGGAGACAGGTCCCAGAAACTCTGTTCAACCCATAGGCTGGGTTATATTAGAAGCACCTTCGTTATACAGGTTATAGAAGGAAAAGGCCAAACAAATACGTGTCGTAATTAACGTCTCTACTACTACTTCCGGCAACAGCCTGCGTAAGGCTTTAAAATAATTAAAAATTACGTTACATATTGTGACGGTGACGCTTATTTAAGTGATGACTGGTAATTACGGATTACTGATTTAATAATCGTCATCGCAGCACACCCGGCCTACCCATTGATGCTCCGTCTTCCGCAGCAAACGTCTCAAGGCGTGTATGCTTACAGTTTCAGTAGCATCTTGCGTATACGAGCACTTTCTTGCCGAATTTAGATTTAATTCCAAAGTTACAGTTTCACACATCTTATTTCATCCTACTCTTATCTCCCCTCAATGGTCTTCAGAATGGTGGCCTGGTCTAGTATGATTGTTCCGGTAGCTATTGCTTTTGTAGCCAAACAATCCGCTCGTTCATCTCTCACATTCCTGCATATCTTGTGCAACATCTACGTGAGTCCCTAGAATGCTGGCGTGCCAATGCCGGTGGTATTCCCTCATGTCCCAGTTGTCCATTTCGAGCTTTTCGCAATACTGACTGAACCATTCCCACAATAGTATTTGGTGACTAAGCAAGCACCCCTCCCCCCCCCTCCAGTATTATACGACTGTCGCGTGCAGATCGTGCACAAAAACACACCAACATTGACTAGGCAAAGACGTCATAAGAGTTAGGTATTGTTGTTAGGTTATGGAATCTAGAGATTCGCAGTCGAGAAGTCAAAGGAGGGGGACGTAGATGTCCTAGTGTGGCTCTATCCTAGGGGAAGATTTACCCCGCGATTTAACGGAAAAAAATCCAGCCTGGTTTCTGGTGCGTTACTGCCATTTAGGATGGTTGGGGGGGAAAGCCCAAAGCTGACCAAAAACACTGTGATAGTCCAAATACTTGGATTAAACGAGAATCTGGAGATAGGTGACTAACCACTAGTTATCACGGGGACCACGGTGATGCGACCCAAGGTCGCCACGGGAAAAGTAAAGGACCACCACGTGTTGTCACGTGAAAGGAACCCGTGGTATAAGTCAGACTTGACTCTGGTCAAGTTTAGTTTTGTGTCGACCTGTTGGAGCGAGAGGACGAGCGATTGAATGTACGAATGTCTACGTGAGTGCCTGAGGAGAAAGGAGACCTGCCGACGAAATGTTAAGCTGAGATCGACCATGCCAGCGTGTGAGATGTCCAAACGTCAGTGTTGAATCCATGGGACCCATCGCTGCTTGAATGCCTGCAGAAGACTATTCGTTAAAGGCTGCGTGAGTTTGTGTACGAAAGCGGTTCAATTAGACATCGACTGGACGATTCTCTTTTGTCGTAAGTTTTAATACGTCAATAAAGTAATGTCTCGTAAGCTCACATCGGTGTCGGCTTGTGCCAGGTGTGTAAAGTGAAGCGTGTCAGAATATCATCCACCACACACGCATGAACACCGCCTAGACAACGAGTAGAAATACAAACCCATTCATTACAATTGGGGACTTGAAAAACGGAGATAACCGGGCAACAGAACAGCAACAGCGAGATGATGTCATGAGCTGTTACTTGCCACGCAG